ACCTTCAGGGCATACATCTCCTAGGAGAGGTATACATCTCCTTAGAAACACAGCCTGTTTGACAGAAAAAGGGGGGATCCGAGAATCGCTTAGAACCCGATTTTCCCAGGAAATGGGAGGATCATGATGATCGCTTAAAATCCCATTTCCTTAGGCATGCATTACTTTATAAAGAGTCTAAATAACTGTTGTATTGTATTGATTTAGTCCTCATTTTATCCAGTTGACAAAATATATATAACAATTAAATAGAACGCATACTGATCCACCATAGACTATCAACAAGCTTCTTTCGCTTGAAATGATGGTTCCAGTTGCTCTTGAAATGCCGTATGCACCATCTCTGTGACCAGTTCCAGGCTGGATCCAAGCCTAAGATAGCAGCCCGTATACAGGCGTGGCGATCTGAGATGATAGTTAGGTTCGTCCGCCTGTTGACATGGAGTTGAATTTGTCTGAAGAACCATCCATAGCTATCGGTATGGAAAACCATCAATACATGGCTTGAATACCCAGAAAAGACGCTTGAAATGGCGCTTGTTACCAGGCACCGGCAGTTGAATTTCTTCATCTTGTTAGCGAGGCGAGAAAATGGTGTCAGGGTTAGACACCTTCAACGCCAAAATCAATTTGGGAAGGAATGCATATGATTCTTCCTAGTCACCAAACACGGCGGCCATTGCTATCTGTTTCCCATGACACGCCTTCTTGTAGTTAATGATATAACCATAACGACTAGAAATGTCGGCGAAGATGATTTTCACCATCAAGTCGGGCTGCTCCTCAATTAGATGTTTGATAGCCGCGACAACCACCCTTGATTTCAACTGTCGATGGACTTGGGATGTTATTGATGACACACATGTGTGTGTGTTCACCGCGCGGGATATGACCCAATGGCCGACTCTCTTGCTCTTGATGGCCCGAACCCTAGCTTTGCATCCCTCATTTTGATTTTTGCATCTAACCATCAGCCTCTTCGTGTCGGAATAGGTTGTTTGCCATTTAAAACTCCGAGTCATTGCTTCAGTGGCAATAGCACGCTGGACCTCATTCTTCGTTGTAAATGGTTGGCCATTCGTAAAGCTAGTGAGTGGATCCCATACTGGCACCTCTGGAGGGTCCATGTCGGCATCAACATACCAATCTTCATTTGGAATGTGATTGTAGTACGGGATAGGTACACGGTCGCGAGGTACCTCATCACCGTCTACGTCTGAATCTGGACCGGAATCATCAGCACCTTCCAGAGGATCGAATCTCTCTGCACTAACATCGCCTTCCTCTTCTTCAACCTCAGGTTCACTAACTGGACTTGGATTGACCTCTTCTTCCATCTGATGATCATCATGAAAGGCACCTTCACCAGCTCCGTAATGGTAGTTGTGGTAACTAACACCGCTTTGGTAGAAGTTGTACTCCGGGGGGTACTGGTAGCCTGCTTGTTGGTTCTCATCCACTTGTTGAGCTTCTTCTTCATATGAAGGGAAGGATTGATGATGACCTCCAGTTCCATCATGATACTTCGGCCTCCAGCTCGAGTCTTGGTACTCCTGGTGGGGATGATCTTCGTATAATACACTCCCAAAATGGATACCAGATGTTTGGCCATCTCCAGAATGACCTACACCGCCTTCGACGGCCTTGGTGTAAACGAACTTCTGCTTGCTTAATTTTATTGGTGCTAAAAAATTGGACCATGGCATCAACGTCCTCCTGAGTGGTAAGGAGGAATTCCTCATTCCATAGCGACCCGACATGTCTGTTTGGATATCGATACACCATTTGATCAACTCTTCTAGTGCCATCCATGTAGGTAATCTGAGTGCACATTTGATGGAGCTCTTCAAGCATCGGTCTCGTACGGACCTTCATTTTATAAAAATTGCAACCGACGTAACTTACACCCTTTTCGGTCTCTTCCGTGTAATCATTCCACCACAACCCAAGCCTGAACCTTTGGAATGCCATCTGCAATAAAACTGTAATTAAGTTACTAACATAAAATCACAAAGGACAATGCAAAGTAATACAAAACAAACTTACTAATTAACGTTAATCGCAAAAACTAAATAATTTAAAGGTGCACAACTGAAATTTGGAGAAGAAGGAGGAGGAGTGAAGATTTTGAGTTCTCTGGAACAGCCTTCTATAGGCGAATTTTACCATACAAACCGCGGGAGGGGGGGGGGGGGGGGGAGGTCTGCCATGCAGCCCCACCCCCTGCATGCCGCCATATTGGATGTCAAGTGACCAGACACAAACCGCGCCTTGGGGCAGCGGTTTACTTTGCACAAACCGCCAGTGGGGGAAGCGGTTTATGTCTGCACATGGTAAACCGCGGCCTGGTGGTGCGGTTTACCAAGCCGACATATGAACGCTTCCTCACGAAGCGTTTTGTGGTAGGGAAGCCATATAAACCCCGCCTTCGAGGAGCGGTTTTACCTGAAATGGAAAACCACCTGTTGACCAGGCGTTTCTTATGTAAACCGCACCCTAGTGGCGCGGTTTATATATTAACCGCCCCTTTGAGGCGCGGCTTTTAATAAAGGGTGGTATTTTTGGAAATTGTTAGGAATGGGTGGTATTTTTGTAATTTTTTTTAAAAAAGTGGTAGTTTTGAATTTTTTCCAAAGAAAACAAGGGTGTTGCAGCCATCCCACAAGTAGAACGATGGATCGGTTGAAAGAGGAGCCAGAATCGAACCATCAACAAACCCCAATTTGTGTTTGGTTTTCAGGGCCATACACATAGATCTACTCCATAAAGGGTAATTGGAACCATCGAAGACAACAGATTGGGACAAATTCTCATTAGCGTTGAGATAATAGGGATTTCCAAAGGGGATCTCACCTCTGCCACTTTGCTTTTGACGACGAATTGAAGCTCCCAAACTGAACACCAGCTCTATTCGCATTTCCAGACCCAGGAGGAGTAAACGGCTGGTTTTGCGACGTAGTGCCGGACAACGGTGTAGGAGCGTAGTCAGAGCCGGGGCTCTAATACCATGAAGAGTTTTGTACAAAGCGAGCAGAAATGGATCGTAAACCCTCAGAAGATGAGGTTTCTCCTTTGTTGATATATATAGGAACGTTATACAGTACTTAGCTGGGGTTTAAATTGAGCTTGCCACAGGGCTCAGCTTCATTGGAAAATCCATGGTCTCTGTCAAACCCCGTCACTAATGCTCAGAACTGCGGCAGCCTAGGCGGCGATAGAGAGTCCACCGACGCCAGATACTGCAGTAAGTACGGTGGTGCGGGAACAACGACAAGCACTGCGACGATGGCTTCCAGAGCAACTGCAACGGAGGCGGAGGTGGGGGCGGTGGCCACAAGTAGCCGCCGTCACCGGACACGGGCTACTTTTTTGCTGCTGCCTTCCGAACAGCCAACCTCTCGGGGAAACGACGGCGACTATAACGAACCTAATTGCGGCAACAATGGCGGGTGCGACGCCGTGCTTTGCTGCAGCCAGTACGACTTCTGTGGGACATCTGATAAATACTGTGGCGACGGTTGTCAATCTGGCTGCCAAGGAGGTGGCGGTGTCCGCCGCCACCAGATTCCTGATCGTACGTTAAACTTCTTGATTGCCACTTGTGTTTACGTGGGAATTGAGTAAAGGAAAGCCATAAGGTGAGTCCAACACTTTTATCTTTTGGATTAGAGCAGCTGCGATCGGTTGTCTCTTCTCCCTTTCAAAGTGACATGGCAATGTCATTTGCCATTTCATGGTTGTAGCAACCCATTTCAATAATGAAATATTTCATTAGATGGAAGAGCAAATGAAATTGCAAGTGGGGTAGCAAGCGGGCCCATTTCAATTGGTTAGAGTCAATAATTATTTAGTTATATTGTTTATGTGAATCGGGCCCACCATATGAAATTGGAGATATATTTCATGGATGTAGGGGCCACAAATGAAATAGGTAGGCTATTTCATGATTGTTGATGGTCTTATAAACTATAGAGAGCATAAATGGTAACTATACCAAGTATTCTAAACTAATTCCTGCTTCTACTTATACTAGTGCATGCATGTACTATAAGTAGGCTTTTGCTTACTCTTTGTACTACAAGCACTAATGAATAAAGTTGTATGCCTCTAAGCGATATGTGAGTTATTTATATGAAATAAAACGAGCTCTTGGTTGTTTCGGAATAGTGGTTTAGATATGTTCATATGTACCATTTTCCTTGTTGTACAACATCTTATTATCAGATAATATTGGACCTACTTTTAAAAAGCACCGTGTCAAATACATGTAATTGAAAAAAATATCATAAGTACTATGCTAACTCTAGACCCAGAAGAGGGTTTTGTCGTAATCCGGAGAGGCTTTCCCCCTAGATCCGTCAATGCCAGTGGAAATCATCATGGAGTACTGGAATTTCCGAAGAAAAGGATCAAAATTGTTTTGACTAGAGCTGCAAACAAGCAGAATGGATCGGAGTCGAGTTTTTGCTTAACTTGAACTCGGCTAGTTAATAAATTTTTCATCCAGAGCTCGACTCGAACTCAAATTTTGATAATCGAGCTCGTGACCGGCTTGAATATAAATAATATAGATCGAGCTCATGCTTCAAGGGTCCATTTCACAGTTCCATGGAATTCTCCTCAACTCCACATCTGGACTTTCGCCCCATCTCATTTGAAGCCCATTGAAAAGCTCCGCCGGTGGCTGAAGATGTTTATTTTCCGGCTTGATCCGCCGTTTCCCCCAATCACCAAGAAACACCAAGTCCGCAGACTCAACTAACCATGAGTTCCATGACGGTATGCAACAGAAGACTTGTGTCTTTTGCCGGCAAAAATCCTACAACGCACCAAATGATCCACACCGGCTCTTATGCACGGCGCTTTTGCGACCATTATTCATCCAAATATTCCTTTTCTTACCCAACAAATTCAAACACAATAAAATAATACCCCACCTCTTTTGCGACCATTAATTATTCATCTGGTGTATAAATACGATCTCCATTCACCACACAATAAGAAACCAGTCGGCAAAACACACACTGACAATGAAGATCATCGCGAACGCGGGTCTTCTCCCTCTGCTGATCGGGGCACTACTATTGGCATCTGGGTTGGTCGCCAATGCTCAGAACTGCGGCATCCAGGGCGGGGGCAACGAGTGCACCGACGCCAGCTGCTGCAGTCGTTCCGGCTGGTGCGGGAACAGCAAGCTGCACTGCGGCGATGGCTGCCAGAGCAACTGCGGCGGCGGAGGCGGACACAAGAAGCCGCCTCCGCCGGACACGGGCTACTCTTTCGCTGCCGCATTACGAGCTGCCAACCTCTCGCAGCAGCAGGCGGCAGGCGTGATGGGGAGCGGCGGCAACGACGACGACTCCTACAACAAACCTCACTGCGGCAAGAAGGGCGGGTGCGACGCCGGGCTCTGCTGCAGCCAGTATGGCTTCTGTGGGACATCTGATGATTATTGTGGCAAAAATTGTCAGTCTGGCTGTCCAGGCGACGGCGGCGCTCCCTCGCCACCATATCCCGATCGTTAAACTACTTTCTTGCTTAATTATAAATTACAGGGAAAGCTTGATGCATTGCATGGGAGAAAATGAAATTCGAATCTACTACGCGGTAATCGTTATCTACGCGCTAATCTATCGAGAGAATATTTCGAGACGAAAAGGTGACTACATCAGCTACTTATCTTATCTAGTTATGTCTGCTTCTACTACTGTTCTACAAACTGTGCGCATGTACAGATCGAGTAGGCTTGCTTTGCTTGCTCGCTCTTAGTACTACAAAACAAAGCACTAATGAATAAAGTTGTATTTCTACTAATTAAGCTATATGAAATGAAATGAGTATTACTATTACGCGTGTTTTTTTTTATGGGCATTTCTGTGGTGCAGTCACGGCACAAGTGCCGCCATCATTTAAGCCGTTGGATCTGTTGTGTTTAATGACCATCATTGATTAAAACCCAAACTTAACCTAATATGGTTCGACCAGTTATATATGGTTAAACCTATTAGTAATTCCAATCCATTATTATAAATCACTTTTAAATATCAACGGAAAGAAAATTTATTTGTTTCTGAAAAACCCTGCTTCCCTTCCCTGTAGTTCCACTAATCGACGGCAGGAAGTGAAAGTCAACACCGACAACATAATTAATCATTTCACAGCAAAGCCATATTCTTCGCTTCATTTTGATCAATATTCCTATTATCTGGCATTGCAACGACGGATTTCCCAGACAGCCGCTAAAACGAATTCTACTCCGGCAAAGTTTTTAACCGGCATCCTCCCTCCGTATAGATACACTTGGGGCCGCGGCAAGAGCGCTAATGGCGGTGCCGCGGTGGTGATTCTGAATGACTAGGTATCAGGATCTGAGCGCAATGACTGTGCGTATGGTATCGGCGGCTGATACGATGCTTGTTATGCCGAACGGCAGCAAGATAGTTTTAGCGGTGGTGATTCCGACTAACAAGAAATTCGGAATCAGAGTGCGCGATGGCCGAGTGTCTGGCGGCTGTGGCGGCAGCGGCAGGCGCAATGTTAATTATGTTGCGGCGGCAGTAGGAACAATGATGACGGTGGTGATTCCGACTGAGGATGTATTCGGTACTTGCGTGATGATGATGTAACGGCGATGAGATGATGATGGTAGCCAGGTCGTGGCTTCAACCGACGGAGGTGCCGGCTTCCCGATGATGGAGAAAGAAAAGAAATAAAGGGGAAAAGAGGAATGGCCGCTGCCTTCTGTTTTTGTAATTTTGTATTATCAATTTAAGGCTTAATTGCAAATTTGGTCACTCGAATTGCTACAAAATTTCATGTTTGGTCACTCGAATTGATTTATTCCATTCGTAGTCACTTAAATTAGTTGAACAGTCCAACTTTAGTCACTGTCCGTTAACCTCCGTCAAACTCCGTTAGTACCGTCAGTTAACTGCTGACGTGGCTAACAGAGGTGCTTAGTCATCCTTTTTTAACAAAAAAAAAACATGCCACATCATTAACCCCTCAATATTTTAAAAGTCCACCCAAACCCAATCAACCCCTGACCCGAACCGAACCCCTAAACCAACCCATTCACCTGTTCTCCCTCTCCTCCCCCCCTCTTCTTCCCCAGCTCCGACCCGAATCGCCATTACTGCCACCAAATCATAATCCCATATCTACGGCGATATCCCGAGATAGAGAGAGCCGGCAAGATTGAGTGGGAATGGAGGGAGACGCGATTCCCAGATCATTCGACGGTGATGGCTTTGGACACAGACCTTGACAGCGACAGACAAGGTGTGAAAGAAGGCTAGCCGGGAAGTTTGTCCCGATTTGGTCTACAACTCTGCTAGAGTGATAGCTATTCGGAGTAGTTCAATTCCCCATAGCTCTCTCTCTTCTCCTCGCCATCCCTCACAAGGGTAGCCGTATCCGGAATCAGATCCTTAGGCGCAGAAAGTACCTCAATTCCGTTTACGAACCCTAATTTACCCTTCTGGGTTGGAACAATCGTGATAACAAGCTTGTTCTGACTAACCCAGACCAAATACTCCTTCACCAGAGTGTCTGATACAGTGAAGTTGCTCAGTGCAACATAATTGTCAACCAGGACGTGGAATCGGGCCTCTCTCAGATCGAAATTGGAGGAAACGAAGGGTCGAAATGGAGGCAAACCATGTGAGTTCCGGGCTCCTTGATCTCGACCGCGTATCTGGAGGGTTTCCTGAAAACCCGAGCCGTGTGATAGATTTGGGGCGAGTTGGATCCGGGGGATCCGTTGCACAGCGCCGTCGTGAGAGCGGAGGATTGGAGCGGAGTGCCGGGATTGGAGTAGTGGAAATCGGAGACGAAACGGCGGGCATCAACGGCGGCGTCGAGGGAGGAGCCGCAATTGATGAGATGGTTGTCGACGGGGGAGAAAGGTGAGAAAGAGAAGGTGGAGAAGAAGGAGAAAGAGAAGGCGAGGAGGAACAAAAGCAGAGTTCCCATGGCGAAGAGACGAGAGAGAGCTATGGGGAATGGAGGGGGAACAGGTGAATGGGTTGGTTTAGGGGTTCGGTTCGGGTCAGGGGTTGATTGGGTTTGGGTGGACTTTTAAAATATTGAGGGGTTAATGATGTGGCATGTTTTTTTTTTTTTGGTTAAAATAGGATGACTAAGCACCTCTGTTAGCCACGTCAGCAGTTAACTGACGGTACTAACGGAGTTTGACAGAGGTTAACGGAGAGTGACTAAACTTGGACTGTTCAACTAATTTAAGTGACTACGAATGGAATAAATCAATTCGAGTGACCTAACATGAAATTTTGTAGCAATTCGAGTGACCAAACTTGCAATTAAGCCATCAATTTAATATCAAATCAAATAAAATCAGACCCAATAAATATTGTCTAAACCATACCCAATCAAACCCATTTTGTTTGAACCGGCCAAGATAAATGGCGGCACCTCAGAATTTGCCTTTTTTTATACTAGCGCCGGATCCGGCCCGTTGGCCGGGAGAGTTTAGACTTGAAAATGACATTTAGACAATTGATATAATAGATGCCCATAAATGCATGTCACATGTGTCTTTATATCTTAGTTATGTCGGTAATTCAATTATGCATAATGTGCTTGTAATATAATAAGGATATGAGAAATGTGATATAAGAAATAAATATAATTATTTAATAAAAAAAGTAATTGTCTTCATTACTTAAGTAGGCCATATAGTAATTTTCGTACAACCAATATATATAAAATGAAATGAAGTCACATAAAAAAGATGTATGAACATAAGATTACATTGAAAATAAGTTGGTACAAAAATTATCCATGAAAATATATTATAGTATTTATCATCTTTGTTGATCACGACAAAGGTTATAGATATGAAATTATATTATTTGAAAAGACACTTTGCAAATTATAGTAACAATTGAGGGACCGAAATTGTCAGTCCAACATTTGATATTATGTCTCGTAAGTTTCAAATTCACTTAATACGCACAAAATATATTAGAGTTGTAAATAAAGTATTACAATAAATTGAAAGCAAAATATCACCAATGTCTTATGATTTCACAATACCTTAAAGAGACATATTTTAAAAGCTCACACCAACATAAAAGCTTGAGAACATTTTCAACAAAATTGTTGCAATTCTTCTCATAACAGGTCAATGAGTCATATTTCTCCAAATACCAAATATTTATCTCCAAATTTAGTTGTTGCATGCCTAACCCCCCAAATTAAATATGAACTATGATATAATTAGCTTCTAGAGCTAAAAAGAAAATACACATGTTCAAGCACTTAAACCCCAAAAAGAAAGAATCTAAATGCATGTCCTTGTATGTTACCAAACTAATTCTTATTTAGCAAGACGGTTGGGAATTAAGTAATAAACTCTCGTACCAATTAATCAAGATTCAAGGGAAATGGTTTGTACTGGAGATGAAATCGACATAGACCTACCTCCATGCTTTCAACTTGCCTCTGCATAACTCTATATCAAAGAATGGTGATGGTTTAGTTGTAGAAATTCTCCAACCATCTTTCTATGTGAAACTCCAACGTTGAAGTGGAATCTTGATATGTTATTACTAATTGTCTTTATGAATGTATATCGATGTGGTTTGAATTAATAATATGATTATTGAGAGAAAATGTTAGTGCAATCGCATGAAGGAAATTAGGATCCCCTTATGGCCAACTTAGAAATCGCACTAAAATTATTAGGGAAAATTCGTACAACTTTACGTAACCCCAATTTTTGCTCAAATTCTTGTAATTAATCTCACCTAAAAAGTCGAGTTTGGTAATAGGGAAAGGGGTCCATTTAGTAACCATTATATTTTTTTTCTTCTTCTCTAAATTAGAAAAAAGAACCCGAACAAAAGAGAAATACCATTTCCTGAAAAGCCTACTGAAGAAAACTTGTTTAGCTAAAAATTTTGGAGGCTTACGAAAATGAAACCTAAAACGAAAAATCCCGTTTACTAACGATTTCTATTATATGAAAATTTTGGTGGGTTGATTACGACATTTTTTAATTTAATATGTATTTTGTAAACTTGTACCATATCATCGATCCGACCAAAAAATATCGGTATGCAGTTTGGTTGTATGAAATGGTTGAATCAAGATCTCAACACATAGTGTCCTATCACATAATATTTTTGGTCACCATATATATATATATAATATTTTAATGAAATTTTATTGTTTTTAATTAATTTTCTTTATTCTAGTGATTTATCATCTTACGTTTCCACTTATGTAATGTGAGCATTAGTGTGAATATAAACATGTTGATTGGAGTTACAAAATAAATTATCACCCATGGATACCCGAATCTCAATAGAGTATGAACATGACTTTGATTGTCAACCTGATTTTTTTAGGTAATGGATAAAATTCAAACCACTTTAGATAGAATAATGGATAATGTCGCAACTGTCCCACGGAATCTAGTCGCTTGCAATCTTTTCGAAGTCACCATCAATCTTAATTTGTAGTGGATCAAAAACTATTTGCGCCGGTCCTAACCTTAGGATTGCAACCAAACTGTGATATGCGAATTAAAGTTCTACATTAGATAATACAGTTATGTACGGGAAGGTATTATCACACACAACACTCTAAATTGGTACTCGAAATTGGTACTACTTAAAAGGTTGAAATATATATATTATTGTCTGTATTTAATTATAAATTTGAATTAATTTAGGGTTAAAGATACTTTTTTAAGGGAAAGCCATTTTGAGAAATGGTGATGAGCACGTGCGAAAGGGGGAGAGTGGAATATAAATTCTTCTTTTAGGCCTAAAAAGTAAAAACCCTGCTTCACACATCATTATCAGTCGCCGAACTCTCTTTTCCTCCCTTACTAAAACCCCTTCTTCTACCAAAAAGGAAATTAACACAATCCTTCTTCTTCTTCTTCCTTTCAGATCTATCATTCGCCTGCTCCTAGGGTGAATTCGCCCGCTCGGAACATCTCCTCGACTGGAGCTTTAAAGATCGTACTTCGGAGCCACGATGACACAGCAGCTTCTCGCGGCGGTGTTGAGAATTGACGGCGGTGGATACCAGCGACGATGATGATAGCGACGTACGCCAGCGAAAATTATGACAACGGAGGCGAAGGTAAGATGAATTTTTGTTGGTTGCATGTTGAATTATAGGTTCTTGGTTGCTGATTTAGAGTTCTGAGCTTTCATTTTTGTGGGTTTGATTATAGCGAGGGGATGAGGAAATGGTCGCCGACTTGGATCTAGACGGCGTGAAAGGAACGAAGATGGAGATTGAATTTCTGCTCAATTTTCGGTGGGTTTGTGGGAAGCATCGTACAGATGTTCAAGATCTATTAAACAATCCATATGTGGAGCCTGGAATGGTACTTTGAAAATAAAAAACACAACCCAAATCGGACCCTTCAATGACCCGTTTTTTGAGCCCGTAATTGAGGTTTGGAAAACAAAACGCTTATTATTTATTTTGAAATGACAATAACGACAACCCTTTATTAGTTTCACTAATGTCAATGGATCACAATTAATTACGTTTGTTGACACCCATGGGTCTGCCGCAGCTGTCTGGACCCATTGTGGTTTGAAAGTTCCATAAATTAGGCCCAGTAAATGACGACAACGGAAGGGAGGACTGATGGAGAAAATCAGAGAAAACCAAAACGCAAAACTTCATTAAGTGGGCAGGTGAATTGTCCAAACTGCCCTTCCGGAAATTCCTCAGAGGCCAGCAAATTCAAATCCCTGCAAAACCAACTCATGTTTTGCCATCTTATATCTTGTAGATTGTAGATATTCTTGTACCATCAACGACAATTATGCGCGCCAACGCGGGAGAACCTAATTAACAGTCCTTTTTTTTTCGGAGACACAGGCTCCCAAGTCCCAACAAACGCAAACCCTGTCATCGTGGGAAACCACATCCATGCGACATAATAATGATGATAAAACCTAATTCACGACGTACTTCAAATTAATAGTTGTACTAGACGGGCGTTGCCGCACCATGTTGGGGCAGTTGTAAATGAGTTTTGAATCAACCTTTATAGGCATGTTTGCTAACTTGATGATGAGTAAGATCTTTAAATTATATATAGTTTGTCGTAATTGAGTGAACTAATGGATCAATATAATAATTAATTGGATAACCAAAAAAAATATAAATATAAATAATGATACATTTATTTCTTTTGTTTGGGTTCACCGTCGTTCAGTGGTTGAGTAGCTTGTCAGGGGAACATATAAACTAGCTGAGCAAATGTAAAAAAAAATAAAAATTCATCAAGGTAGGACGGAACGAAACAATGAAGATTCTGTATAACTAAGCTGAAGATCCATCATTATTGAATCAAGAATCTCGTTTGAAATAGTATACAAAACAACATATGGAAAAAAAAATTAACATTGAATGGAAACAGAGACGTTTGTGCGATTCGAGCGAGAAAAAATCCTTTGGTTTAGGATCTATATATATGATCTTTCTCAATTTAAGAATATGGTTGATTTTTTCGTTGTGAAGATATATCACTATCCGGTCATGATCCATCATGGTTCTGAAATCAACAAAAGTGTTGGGAAGTCTGATAAAATAGCAAGTAGAAATGAATAAACATGTCTCATGTCTGATAAGATGATTAAACCGGCTGGAAGAAGACCGTGCATATGTGAAATATATTTGGATAATCTCGATTACGTACAAATTAAGATAAATGTCAATAAAATATATGTAATGGGGGGTCTAGGAAACACTCCTTTTTTTTTTTTTTGAAGAGGTTTTAATAAAAAATTATGTTTGGATTTATGATAAATTTTTTATGGATACGAAAACTATGGGTCAACCTTCAATTTCAAATCAAGAAATACAGTAATATTCAAAGCTAATAACAAATTGAAAAATAAGTGTACATAATGTGGGATCATCAATTTTTTCGTATCGAGAAGTAAATTAGAAAATAGACATGCAACAACGGGTAA